AGTAATTGCATCCATTAGTTGAAAGGAAATAAAAATAACTACGAATTATTTATTAATTTTCTAATAGCATAGCACATTAGAGAAATGGGTAAGGATTGTTTCCGCAAAATATATAAGCTACAACATCAACCAAATAGCCTTCTTTCATTACAGTCCAAATCTTGCTAATGTTTTTCAGGAAAGGTAAGTTATTTGCCTACATTATCCCAAATCATTAAATTGAAGACTACGGCTGCAACAATCATAAACAAATATTGACATAAAAATTATTTCTTTTCATTTTTTTATGCATGTGTATACGAGCTGGCCCAATAAATATTGGGCAATGAGGAAAATTACATGTCGAGCCGAGTCAGCAGTGGAAAATTCCTTCCATAAGTCCTGCAAACAGTAGCATTGCCTCCATCAAATAACTAAAAATCCAAAATCAAAGAAAATAGAAAAACCCAGAAGGTGTTTGAACAAACCAGTACCTCAACTTTAGAGAGCTTGCCTTCATCCAATACTTTGAAAAGAGCAAAACCCGCCGGCGTTTCAAACAACAGTAACATTGTTCTTAATCCACCACTACCTCCTGAAAGATAGGAATCTCAAAAATTTCATATAAACAAATTGTTCAAAGGAGGTAGAATATACTTCAAATTTCCAGCTTTTCTTCTTCAAATCATTTTTTTTTTTTTGCACAGGAAATACACATTTTTATTGTTACCTGAAATTGTCTCGGCGGATTAACAGAAGGGCCCCTCCGCTTTTCTTTCTATTTTTCTTTCCTTCTTTTTTCCTGCTAGAAGGGGCTAGGGTTTTAGATGAATATATATACACAGACAAGGAGCGAGGGTTTTAGGGAAGAGTTGGGGGCTCTCCTGGCAAATTTTATTAAAAAGGCCTTTTATGGCCAATATTTTTGTTTAAAAGGTTTTGTTTACTAACTTTTGGCTTGTTTTAAAAAAATTTAGAAAAAGCCTTAGCCCCGTTTGGTCCAAATTAAAATCTAATTTTAAAATCTAATTAAAATCTAATTTTAATACAAGTCAAAGTCAAACAATCAATATTAATCATATTTTTCATAGATCCCACAACTTTTTAACCACACATTTCAAAAATGTCTATCACAATCCACTAAAAATCTAATTTTAATCAACGCCAAACACCTTCTTAGTCTTGTCCGATTTTGTTAAGAATAAGATTTTTAGTAAATTTTGATAAAATTGATGATGTGTATATTAAAAAGTTAATAAAAGTTATGGGTCCATAAAATATGTAATTGAAAATGATTTAAAATAAAAATAGGAGCTAAACATGGATTTTAATTCTTATCCCAACTTGATATTGTGCGGGCATGAATAAGAATTTTGTTATAAGAGATTTGATTCAGGCTTTCATACCTACCAATGGTATATAAGGAAAACGAATTACTTTGTTAGATTTTTTTTTTTGTCGTTTCGATATTGAGGTGCGGTGAATAGACGATTCCCCACCCCGTCCCCGCCCCGTTACCCGTTTAAGTCGGGTCGGGTCGGGGTAGGTCCTTTCCCCGTTTAAAAAATTTTTTTTTTTTTTTAGTTTTTGATAATTTATTTTTATTGTCCATATTCATTAGATTTAGACAAATAATTTTATATGCTATTTTCTATTAGAACTAATGAAAATTTTCATTTAAAGTATTGAATTCTAAAAAAAAAAAAAAATTTTAATGGGGCGGGGCAGGGATGTTTAAGCGAATTTTCCCCGCCCCGTTCGGGACGGGGCCCGCGAGTATCGGGTTTGTCGGGTTTTTTTGTCATCCCTAACATTCACCCAATAAAATATTCTACACACAAACCAATAATGTTACTTTAAATTCCAATCACATATTCTCCAAAAAAATGTTATTCATTACTCCATTTCTTCTATAATAATGCGAGACAAACACAAAATAAATGCTAATTTACATTATCCAAACTCAGTGAATTCACTTTATGCTCTTAAGACAGTTGTTCTCTATTTGTGGTTGAGTAGTCATTTCAAGGTATAAAAAGCAGAATTTGTATCACATGAGAACCAACGAACACCGCTCCTACCTCTATTACCCAACACGAACATAGAATATTTCGTACAGTATAGAAGATTTAAATGTCATTTTCCTTTCAATCATGCTACATATACATTTTCTGTGACATTAAGTTTGACATTCAATAAAGTGACAACAATCATGATCTTTAATTTTAAACATACTCCATCAATTCATTGGTCAGATTTCAACCATATAAGAGGATGTCATCATTCATGTGAACAAGAAATGTACATCTAGCATTATTGTTTTCCTTTTAGGACTAGCTTTTAATAACAAAATTGTAAACTTTAAAAGAATTATGAAACTTACAAGAAAAAATGTGCCTATCGATTAAAAGTTTTTTTCCCTTTCTTACTTCTACTGGCTGCATACTACATGATCCATGCGTATTCATACATATTAACTCATACATAATATGTTTTTGAATATTGTGACCCAATTCCATTGAAAAGTGGTGTTTTGGTTGAAGAATGTCCTAAACAGGCCAGAAAGTGAAATTTAACCTGAAACTCAGCGCTTGGACGTACGAGCTGTCACCTGTCTTGCGCTTGCTTCCCGCGAAGCTATCGTTCAAGCGATGTATGTATCCTAGCAAATATTATTTCCTTATTTTTTGCCTCAATTTTTATCATCTTTCCACTATAACATATTCGTTTGGGTCAAATATATAGTCCACGAATTATATGAGTTTTTATGTGACTTTGTATGAGTTAGAATCAAGTTAGAAACACAATGTTTTATATTCTTTCTCTATATTATAAATTTTTCATTTCTCTGTCAATTGTTCTTATAGTGTGATTGCTACTTCATATTTTGTCATAACATAGTCTTCGTTATTCTCTAACAAGTGGTGTTAGCGCCCGTAACTACTTGGTTAGATTTGTTAACAAATGGTATCAAATCTTAATGTTTGATGTGTTCGAGGTTTGTTCTTGATGACAACTATGAAGTACAATATTTGCTTCTGGATTGCAGCACCGAATTTTCGTTGTCGCAATGAAGAAGCGAACAATGCTTTACTCGAATGGATTTGAATGATGCATTGTTGGGATTTGATAAGATGCCCACAATGGACACCAGAGGAGAAACAACGTAGGTGTCGAAAGGTCCTATCACAGATTCATTTTCATCTTTC